AGAGGAAAATCAAGAAGGATTTATTAAGGCATTTTCTGATTCGCCCGAATCATTCAATTATGGTTTCTCACCGCTTCAAACTGCCTTGCAATATCTTCAAATACGTAAAGTATTTATTTGGCCAAGATTTCACATCACTATACGCAAATGCCTCGAAGAACGTAAGTCAGATGTAATCGAATTGCATCAGCCCTTATCAGAATCAATGGAAGAACTCCAGACTGCTATTCTCGAGTGCATTGAGGCCTGCATATCTGAGTTGAGAAAGGCCAATATCGCTTGGTTAGATCTAGATAATTTGACTGTCGAAAATGCATTTTCTCGATCATTTGATCATTTAATAAGACAACAACTTGACCCAGTATGGCACCGTATTAGTTATAAAACAAAACTATTGGTTGGAGATCTCAATACTTTACGGAAATTACTTACATACCTTGTGAGTTACGATTGTGTTACGTTTCATAGTTTTCTGGAGACCATTTTAGCAAGTCAAACATCTATATCTACTTTGAGTCAGCAGCAACAATCACCTTGGATTTTCACAGATTCCGGGAACAATATATTTACAGTGGCTAAAAGACGTGTTTATGTTCGTTCCGGTTCTACATCCACGGTTTCGGAGACGGACAAAGCAAAGAAACATGATTTTCTTCCTGGAATCGAACCAATATTGGAAGAGTTACCAAAATGGGGACTTTTAGCAGATGTTTTGAATGAGATTGAACTTGAAATTGAGTCTTCATCAGATTCTGTGAATAACGGTGAACAATCGAATGACAACATATTGGTTATGGTGGAGAATGAACGAGAATGTTCGCAATTACGCGAATATCTTTCCACGATGCATAAAGGATTGAAAAAAGGACAGGGGCGAGGTGGTCCATTGTTAAGAAGGTTGTTTAAGAATTATGTTAAGTGGAAAGGTGGAATAGCTAAAGTCAGCAAAAATTTGTTTCAGTCAGCAAAAGAACCCGCAAAAAATGAAGGTGCTCAAAAAGAAGATAATAATCCGAAGCCTATAGCTGAACCTAAGAGACAAGTTAAACGTGGACAACAACCTCCAAATAAACGAAGACGTGTTCGCGGCGGATCGGTGACCGCCGCGTCATCATCACGTACATCTGTGTCAATTATTGAGGAAGAAGTCAAAGAAATTGAAGGTTTTATTAATCCCGATGCCGATACCGATGACGTTATAATAGTTGATTCCAGTGAGGTTGCTAATATTCATGAATCATATTATGAAGATGAGTTTGATTTAGAGGCCTTTTCGACATATTTCGGGATACTTCCAATGCAGTCACTAATTATTATTCGATCATATTCTGGAGAAGATGATGATATAATATTGGAAACATTAAAACCCAAATATATTGTTATTTATCATCCAGACCAGGGGTTTGTGCGACGTGTCGAAGTATTCCGCGCCATGCATCCAGGAATAGCTTGTAGGGTCTATTTCATGATGTACCAAAACTCTGTGGAAGAACAACGATATTTGAGTTCAATAAGAAAGGAAAAAGAGTCTTTCGAAAAATTAATCCATGAGAAATCTATAATGGCCATTCCTTTAGGAAAAACACGAAAAATTCAAAGTGACCCTTCCGATATGTTCTTAAGAACTGTAGATACTCGTATAGCAGGTGGTGGAAAGCTAGAACAAAGAGTTAAAAAGTCACCTAAAATCATTGTTGATATCCGAGAATTTCGAAGTTATTTACCATCGCTTCTCCACGCACATGGAATAGAAATTTCTCCGTGTACCTTACAAGTCGGAGATTATATTTTATCACCGCATATTTGTGTCGAAAGAAAATCGGTATCTGATTTGATATCGAGTTTTACTTCTGGAAGATTATACACACAATGTGAAGCAATGTCGATACATTATAGGCAACCAATATTGTTGATCGAGTTCGATCAAAATCAAACGTTTACTTTTCAAGCAATAAATGATTTGAAATCTGATATCAATGTCAACGATATTTCTTCAAAACTTGTGTTACTTACTCTAACATTTCCTCGACTACGCATAATTTGGTCTTCTAGTCCTCATTCCACCGTTCAGATTTTTGAAGATTTAAAGCAATTGCATGATGAACCCGATCTTGAGAAAGCTCAATCAATTGGGAATGAAGATAACGAAGAGATTCCTATAGATTATAACTTGGCACCCCAAGATTTCCTTCGTGCTCTACCCGGAATTACTGCAAACAATTGTAAACGTGTTATGTCAAAGGTGAGAAATCTGCGTGAATTGAGTGAGTTATCTTTAAGCGAATTGCAAAATCTTATTGGTGATGAGAAAGGTAGAACTTTATTTGAATTTCTGGAAAAGGATGTTAAAGAATGACGATCTTGGCCACGTCTAGAAATAAATCTTGATATTCTTAGATGAACTTGACTCGCACAATGTTACTTTTGCTGGCACTTTTGAATAGAAAAAAAAATATTGATAATAATAATTCAAAAAGCTTATTTAATCTAATTACTTGCTAATACTTTATATAATTCTAAATTGATTAAAAAATTATAATAAACACTAATTATTTTAATATTACATTTAGTAACATTCGC